TGCTGAGTAGGGACTGGAACCTTGGTCAGCTATGCTGGAGTCCAACACAGTAACCACCATACCACCTGCTGGCCCCCCTGAGGTGATTGTTTAAGTAAGCTAAAATACACTAGAATTATGAAAATTTCTACTTCTTGTCATTCTGTCCATTTTTTGCTTTATGTATAATGAGCTGTACTATTAGGTGCACAAAGATTTAAATATTACTAATGTACTATCTCTTTCATTGTCAAATATGATCCCCTTTAACTTTAATGATTCTCTTTGTCTTAAAACCTATTATTTTTCACATTAATATTGCTAACTATCTTTCTTTTGGGTGGTAATATTCTAGTAAGTCTCTTTCCATTCCTTTACTTTCAATTGTTTCATGTCATTATATTTTCAGTATGTCTTTTATAAACATTTTGGTTCTCATTCTGAGAATTGTTTTCTCTTAGGAAAAAGATAGTTCTCTTTTTTTTTCCACCTGATAAATCCTTCTTTAATTTTTATTTTGCAATCTTAACTATTTAAATCAGTCAATTCCATGCTAATTATTATAAGGACAGGATATAATTAAATGCCCTTATCAGATGATCATTGTGCCTGAGCACCCCACAGTAGGTCCAGTTCTTTCTCTGAGTAAGTACAACTCCAGTTATAGGGAGCCAAATTCTAAGGAACATCATTCTATTGTGATTGGAATTGTGCATAGCTGTGAAGTTCAAAAGGAAGAACAACTGGAGAATTTCAACCACTAAGAATGTTGCCTTACCTCGAAAAGATTTCTGTTGTGCTTTCTGCCAAAGGGGGGAAAAAAGACTAATGTGCATTTGTAAGAGCCTCCTTTAAAATACAAACCTTCCCCAATCAAATTATGTCAGTCATTGTACAAAATTTTGTATTTAACAATACTTAATGAACATTGTGTTTCAGGCCATGTGTAGGATACAGCTGGCAACATGGTTGTATTCTTTGACCCCTGAGGATTACAGCCTAGTGGGAAGGTCAGGGTAACCCAGGTGTCCCCATATTGCTCCCAAATGTGAATTAATTTATTTTTATTTTCTTCATTAGTTTGCTAGAGAATACATGTACTTGCCAGAGAGAGAGAGGAGAGACAAATAGAAAAAGAGACGATAAGTAAGAAATCACCTTCTAGGGGGGTTGGCCATGCTGCAAACTTTTCCCCTCCATTCTCTTCATGCACACACATGGACATGGCATGTTTTTCAGGTCATCAGGTCTGGGACACAAACTATATTGTGGGATCCGTGCAGGATCCCATGCCTTAACTATCATGCCACTGGCTGGCCCAGAATGACTTTTAAAAAACATAGTTTGGCCCAAAAGGTTAGTCCTAATAAATACAGAAAAGGTCTATGATTTTGCATCATGTTTCAAGAAAATCAGTATTACATGGGACTCTTAAGAGTTTCGGTATCTGATTCACAACTCCATACAGTTATCTTCTTAGACTCCTGCTAGTCTCTATAGCACTGAAATTGAATATCTGTACTAGGAGGTATTGAACAGATACCCTGCATACACCATTTTTCCTAGTCCATTAGCTAAGAAATGGAATACCTGTAATATGGTTCCAGCAAAGTAGATTTTAACTGAAATCTTTCAAAAAAAAAATTGCATTTCCTCCAATTCCTAAGTGAGTTGGGGAAAGAAAAGGATTCCTTTGGAAAAACTGCTATTTATCTTTAGTGATTCTTACTGAACCCTACTCTGTCATCAGCAGAAGGCCTGGGGACAAAGAACAAAGTCCTCAGTTAATACTCAGAACTTAACTGATAAATCATTGGTGAACCTGTGTGCCAAAACCTTATAATTATTAACATAGCAACAGAATTTTCAAGTTTCCCCAGTTGCCAATTTTTTTTTTCAAGAAGAAATCCCAGGACCAGCAGTTAGCATAATGGCTATGTCACTGGACTCCCACGTAGTCGACCGTGGTTTGAGTCCTGGACCCGGTGGCTTAAACTCACACCGGGCGCATGTGCGTGTGTGCCCAAGATCCCAAGAGGAGAATGGAGGAGAAGGGACTGCGGTGTGGCCATCCCCCCTGGGGGGTGATTTCTTGCTTTCTGTCTCTCTGTCCCTCTCTGTCTTTCTGGCGAACACACACGCCCTATAGCAAAAACCTCTCCAAAAAAAAAAGAAGAAGAAGAAGAAATCCCAACACCTCCCTACCTGATGAAATATATTCTGTACCTTCAAATTTATTTTCTGAAAAATAGAGAACTTCAAGGTATAGAACCCTCCTGTTTACAATTTACACTAAAGTACCTCCTTATCTTCTAATGCCTTAGGTAAAATGGAGAAAATTATACCTGATCTTCCTGAAGAAGAGAGAAGGAAGAGACTCAAGGCAGATATCTCTCAAAATCCCTTATACAACTCAGAAATGATATCCATTTGATTTTAATTCTATCTGTGAACCTAGAGTAAGATCTTATTATAGATAGATATTCCAAGTGACTCCAAGGCTGAAGATATAAATCTGGAAAGAATCTATTTTTTCTTTTCTGACTAGTTTTCTAATTCAGTGGATAGAACGATAATTTAATATAGGTCAAAAGACTCAACATCTTTGGGACCAGCAGTTAACATAATGGCTATGTCACTGAACTCCCATGTAGCTGACAGCGGTTCAAGTCCTGGACCTGGTGGCTTAAACTCACGCTGGGCGCGTGTGCGTGCATGCCCAAGATCCAGAGAGGATGATGGAGGAGAAGGGATTGCAGTGTGGCCATCCCCCCCGGGGAGTGATTTCTCACTTTCTGTCTCTCTGTCTCTGTCTTTCTGGCGAGAGGATGTGCCCTATAGCAAAAACTTCTAAAAAAAAAAAAAAGATTCAACATCTTGGAAAATGGGTTTCATACAATGTTAGTTGACAGAGCATGATGCTCTGTGGGGCAGTCCTGTATGAGAGGGTTCTCGGTTCAGATCCAGAAACCTCTCTAAGTACATCAGGCACACATGTGCCCATAATGCTAGACTGTCTGAAGGCTGGAGTTTCATTGTGGATTCAAGACCCTGTTAGGTGTACTGCCTCTCATCCCCCTCCCTTTATTTCTCCCTTTTTCTCTCATTCGTGGAGAAATAAATTAACACAAACTTAAAAAAATGTTTTTAAAATGAAGTCCAAGGGATATTGCATACCACTTCTGTCATGAGAGGACACAAAAAGGCACCAACTATTAAGAACGGTCCCTCACCAAACACTTACCACCTTGTCATTGGACTTCCTAGTTTCTAGACGTATGGGAAATAAACGTCTGTTGTTTATCAGGTGTCCAGTCTAAGATATTTTGTTATAGACACCCAAACAAACTAAAACAGTGGGCAAGAGCTTTCCAAAATAAAACAAAATATGTAATGAAATACCATGAAAAACTTAGGGAAGGTGACTCAGATCTGTATTTTTTGTATGACAAACTACATTATTGATCATAGGCCATTTATACGATGGCATGCATATTGCTTTAGTTTGTTTTAATAAAAAAAAAGAAAACCTATTATGTTATGATAATTAGAATATATTTTTCCTTTTAAATAAAGAAGGTATAACTTCTCACTTCCCCTCTTGAAGTTATTCAAAATGCACTGTTTTGGTTCCCTACTCTAGGTGGTCCCCAATGTTGGGTGTCTCTTACCTCTTACCAATCTTCACTTTACAGCCCAATGAAAAGCCCAAGTCAAGGGTGACTGTAGCCTACAGGGTTCACAGAGGCAAAATCAATTCAATCCAGCAGAGCTGAAAAGCAGATGCCAAACTTCAAGAACACATTTTCTCCCCTCAATCCAACAGCAAGACAGATCTGAAGCCATCATGTCCACTGACTTCCGTGACATGAGTGTCTCCTGCAGCAGCTGACCACTGGACCATGTAGTCACTCTTTCTAGTCTCCAAAGCAGAAGGAGCAGGTAACCTACACAGAATAAGACCATTTACAATGAATTTAAAATACTTGCTGTGCTTACCTGTGCCCTCCTCTCTAGCAGACATTTGGGATAAAAGGTTGTTTCCCAGGTGTTGCTGGAGGATGTCACCAAGGCAACTGTCTTTCCTGTAGGATGATTCAAGATTCTCTGCATCTACCAACCCCACCTTTTTAATCCCTCACCCAGTTCCAATTGCTTTATCACTGTCCCCCCTTAGAAATACCTATGCAAAGCACATCATTTCCTATTCTGAAGCAGTTGGAAATCTGAAAGAGACATACTTATAGGACCTAGTGAGATCTTAAAAAATATGGACCCTGAGTGTAGGGGAAAAAAAGGCACATATTTATCTAAATTAAAACAGCATTCACACCAAACAATACATATTATACAAGGGTACATGCCAACAAAAAGATAAATATTGATACTAAACACACTAATAGTTGCCTCTGAGATTGGAGGTAGAGAGACACAGGAATGATAAATAAGAATTTAGGAAATTGAAAATATAATACAAGTAAAGCTCACTAACTCTTCAGCTCTCAGCATCTTACTTCATTTAGGCACCTGAGATGAGCAGCTATCCAGAGCCATACTGCTTGGTACCTTCTTCTCTTTCCCCTGGAATGCCCCTTCCCCATTGTTCTTTTTCCCTTTCTCTATAAGGCGCCCCTTTATTCATTCACTTCATACATATCCTCCTTCTCACTCTCTTATTCACATTCGTTTTTTAATCTCTAACACCTCCAACCATAAACTGAACTTTCCTTTACACCCAACACTACCCTCCCTCAGAAAGCATCTCACCCCTGTGGAATACAAAACTAACCAAACTAGCCCAGGTGGCATATGCTTTGTCTGCTAGCCTTCTCTTTCCTTCTTTCTCCTCTCTCTCTCTT